TTACTAGTCTGCACTAACAGAAATGCCTAGCATGTGATGGGGTGTTATAATGCAACAAAACCCATTCATTTTGCCCAATTTATTAAAAATTATAAAATCAGTTGCTTTAGTAGCATTAGTGAATACTCACAAATTCTGATTTGACGATGTCCAGAATATTTGGCAAATAAGACTCCACCATGTCCTTGCACTCATCTACCAGTTCTGGCTCATGAAGAAACTCACAAACTTTGTTGAAGTATTCACTTATTTCGTCCTATGACAGAAGACAGACAGGTTGGTTCAGTCATAAAGCATTAAAGGATTCAGGAAGAAATCCTTAATAATTCCTAAATCATATTACAGATAGATATGGGCAACATTTTTGGGTTGGATGTCACAACAATACCTGCTTATTGGTCAGCAGGCCATAAGACACCTTCCAATGATATGGTACATCAAAAGAGGAGACAAGACTGAAAATGTTCAACCCCCTTAACATAATTTTGGAGAATTCTGAAGACAGTAATGGGAGCTTTTCATCTATAAGTTGCTTTGCATTCCTATTCCCAACTTTGTTCTTATGTTTCAAACAAAAAATGTTATGGCCAGAGTTTGGTTATTTTGCCACTAAATTTTGGTTACATGATTTTAGCTATATATTACCCCCATCTCTGCAACAGATTCCATACTAGAGGCGAACCAGTACTGTCTACAAAAAGCAACATGAAACACGTGAAAGTAAGCGTGGGCAAATCTTTACAAAGCATCATATAAATATTCAGATGATTTACCTCCCTGCCACAAGAAATGTCTGAAAGCTTTTGCCATCAGCAGAAGAAGCTGAGAGATTTTTACATAGCTGATCAGCCTTCTATTATGCAATGGAAATGAAATTTAAAGGATAATTTTTTATATATTTGACTAATATCTTGTTAAGGCATGAGCTCATTTTTGTTCTATTATGAAAAAATATACCCATAGACTAGGGGCTCCCAGTAAGAATGAATGCAATCCAACATTGTCATATTTTAATATCAAAAATACCCGTTTTAGGAAATACATTCATGATAACCCATGGTTGAAGGGCATGTGTCAACAAAGTGGTGGGTCCCACTTTTAGATCCTGCACTTTGCTTCTTGATTAAAACTACTGGATATTTTTCTGGAAAGGAATTCTTACCATTGTCTCATTGTTCTTTAAGAACTTCCCAACCACTCGTACAACTTCTTTACATAAGTCACAGGGAATGCTCTCCTGAGGAGAAAAGACCATTTTGATAAATAAAATGACATTTAATTTTTAGACATATAAACTAAGACTAATGAAAATTCAGTTAAGGTAGTCTTGCTGCAGATGCTATTCATTGTGTTAATACCATTTTCCTAGCTCACATGCTAGTACAAATGCACTAAATGAGGGGTCCCCAATCTTTTTAGGCCAATGCTCAAGAGGATAGAGGTAGTCCTCGACTTACAACAATTGAGACTGGAACTTCCACTGCTAAGCAGTGCAGACAGTAAGCAAGTCGTGCTCGATTTTACAAACTTTTTGCCATGGCTGTTAAGCAAATCACACAGTCGTTAAGTGAATCTGGCTTCCCCCATTCACTTTGCTTGTTGAAAGCCCCATGGGAAGGTTGCAAATGGTGTTCATGTGACCCTGGGACACTGCAACCATTGTAAATACATGCCAGTTGCCAAGCACCTGAATTTTGATCATGTGACCACCAGGACACTGTGATGGTTGTAAGTGCAAGGACCGGTCATCACTTTTTCAGCACCATTGTAACTTTGAACAGTCATTAAACAAATGGTCTTAATTCAAGGACTATGTGTACTGAAAATGTTATTTTTCATATATATAACTTCTATTAAGGGGACGCGGTGGCGCAGCGGCTTAATGACGCTGAAAGTTGCCGGCCAGAAATGGTCGACGCTTCAGCA